GAAGTCAACTAAAGGGATAATGATAATTATCAAAATGCCTGCCATTTGAAATAAATAAATAAATTTCAATTAGATTTTCACCTTAGTTGTTCTAAGTTTCTTATAACCCTCTGATTGTCCTCTGAATAAAAAAAATATTTAAATGAAGTTCTATAGTCACCCTGCTTAGTCACTTGGGACACAAATAATCTGAGCTGTTTGCTAAGTACACCACGCGCGAATGGCTGAGGAAGTAACCTTATCGGAATTTAAAACATTCTCCTGTTAGAAATTAATTGCGGATTACTAAATGAAGATAAGTCCAACAAAACGCGAAATAAAACGTCCCTATAAATATGGCAATAAAATTGCAATTAAGCATGGCTCGATTAATTTTTTTAATTAGTAATATCAAGACGGGTTTTATTCACTCGGGCATGTTTCAATGAGAAAAGGGATTTTCGTAAATGAATTTTCGTCAAAAATTTACTTTTCATTTGAGATCAAAAGCTTGATTATTTCTCATTTGCTATTGACGCAGTGTTTGTCTTTAAAATAACAACGTTTTTTCAAAACAATTCAAACCCAGCGATGAAAGGTTACTTTTTTAAATAAGGTATCCCATTCAAAATTTGTCCACAATTGTCTTCCATTCAAAAAATATAGAACTCCGATCAACTTTGAATATTTGGAAGAAATATTCATATTGTTATCTCAATAGACAAATAAACATAAGCATAAAAAATTATGGGCTAAATTCGCTATAAAACGATATTTTGACGCAATTCAAACAAACTGGCAAACAAAGCAGTTCCAGTTTTCATTTAGAGCAATTTGAGAAATACGTGGTCGAGTCAAAAAGTTCTCTGACAAATGACATATCTTTAAATAGAACAAAGATCTACTGGTTTTTACAAGTATAAGCGTGTATTTAGAGATTCTTAGATAGCATTCGACTGTCTGATAATTCTATGCAAGGTCAGGATCAAAACAGATTGCATCTCAAAATTGCTGGCAATTTTTATCAATTCGAAAGGCATTTTATTTATTTATTTATTTATTTCAAATGGCAGGCTTTGTGATATTTATCATTAGCCCTTAAATTTTGACTTCAGCTTCCCCCAATAGTGGGGGGTACATTTATAGCAGTTCATTAATAGCAGTTCATTAGCCGTCTTCATGCTTCCCAGTATCTTTGGCTTTCCGTCACATTAGGGCTGGACATCGAATCAGGTGGGTCTTCTCCATTTCAGAGCTGGACATCGAATCAGGTGGGTCTTCTCCATTTCCTCATGTAGGTTACAAAGAGGGCATGTGGGTTGTGTGTATACTCCCCATCTGTGAAGAGGTTTTGCCAAACAATCGTGTCCGGTACGTTGTCTAAACTCAGCAACGACTTCGATTCTTGGCCAGTCGGCGCCAGTCGGGTATGTTGAGAGTGCCACTGTCCACTGTTTCTCCTTTGTTCGAGCTTCTAGCAACGGCTTCGATTCCTGGCCAGTCGGTTATATCGGAGAGTGCCAACTGTTCGATTCTTAGCCAGTCGGCTATTTCGGAGAGTGCCACTGTCCACTATTTCTCCCTTGTTCGAGCTTTGAGTTCGTTGCACCTTGAGGTCTTGAATTCTCTTCCAGTCGGCTATGTCGGAGAGTGACTGTTTCTCCTTTGTTCGAGCTTTGAGTTCGTTGAACCTGTCCACGTCTCCTTTGTTCGAGCTTTAAGTTCGTTGCACCTTGACTGTATACTCCCAATCTTTGAAGGTGTTTTGCCAGGCAATCCGTCCGGTACGTAGTCTAAACTCAGCAACGGCTTCGATTCTTGGCCAAAGTTAAACTCAGCAACGGCTGTTTCTCCTTTGTTCGAGCTTTAATTTCGTTGCCTGTCCCTTGTTTGAGCTTTGAGTTCGTTGAACCTTGAGGTCTGGAATTCTCTCTTGTGGAAAGACATCGGCCGGTCCATGCATTGCAAAATCGTTCCCCCTTCTTAGCAAGTGTGTCAGCAAGCACATTACCCATTGCATTTAATGCCACAGTGACCAGGAATCCATTGTGGAACCACGCTTTGTCTCATAGAGTTTTCTACATCCCTTTATCTCAGCTGTTTTGAGTGGCTCTCTGCTTCCAATCGAGTTTCTTACCGATTGTGAGTCCGAAAGCATCACCGCTTTCTTGAATTTAGTATCCAGGCAGCTTAATTGGCATAGTGCTATCATAATGACCTCTATTTCTCCTTCAAAAGCGGATCTATTGTATCCCGTTGCTGAGTAGAAAGAGAAGAGTTCAGAATAGACACCTGCAAAAGCGTTTGCTTGGTTTTCTATGTATGACCCATCAGTGAAGACATGGAACCATTGATCTGCAAGATAGTTGACAATGATTGTCTCAAGGGCCAGTGAGCGCATTTGCTCTGGAGGGGTATTTGATTTCCTGAAGAAGTCGAGCAGTTGGGTGCGACACACTACATCAGGGTCTGCTAATGGGTTCATGGGGAGAGAGAGGCTTTTTGGTTTGTCATAGATATGTAATTCTTTCTTCAGTTCTATGGCTTTCTGCGTTTTCAGATGTCTTGGTCTATTCTCATAGGTGCTGAAGAATTTGTACATGGGAATGCGCAGTAGTTTCTCATACAGGATCAAGGCCTTTTCTTTGATAAGGGAGCCTATTGTGGTGTTTCCTGTAACTTGGAGCATTGCATCAATGGGTGTTGATTTTATCCCTTCAGTAATTAGTCGTAATGCTTGGTTGTGTGCCTTCTTGAGGGGTTTGAGAGTCACCTCTGTAGCTGTAATGAGTGGTTCACAGCAATACAACATTATTGGCTGAATAAACATCTTGTAAGTGGTGTTTAGAGTTGAGCGCGCACAGCCCCATACGCTACCAGCAAGACGCTTCAGGACATTCAGTCTGTTGGAGACGCGTTCTGCTATTTTGGCAATGTGACTTTTCCACGTTAGCTTGGTGTCAAACGTCATTCCGAGATAGGCGAACTCATTGGTNCCTTCTTGAAGTTCCATGATAGCTTAGTTGACACTTTCCTTGTCATGCTATTGACGCCGATGGTAATACTAGCAATGACTGGTTTGTGACCAGAACCAGGATCGTCAATTATTTTGCGGTGTGTATGCTCACTGATGTCACTTGAAGCCGAGAGTAAGTCCGGAGTTGTTCTGGCTCCATTGTAGTGCAAATATGTAGCCGGATCCTTATTGCTGTAAATAAGTTCCAGAGGGTTGCTGTTTAGCATGTCTTCAATTTCCTTTCCAGCTATGTTTGTATCCTTGTAGCCCCATCTGGTGGAATGGGCGTTGAAGTCTCCTAATGTTATAGTTTTGTGTGAGATGTTCAGAAAGTCAAAGTTGGGACAATTCTGGGGTGCATTATAGACTGCATATATCTTGAAGTGATTTTGACATTTCCAAACATTCAATCTGATTATTTCACATATGTCTTTTTTCGAACCCATACTCTTGATTAGCTCGTAGTGTGAGGTGAGGCCTCCTTTTACTCCAGTCAGAATTCCACTTGCAACTCTCGGTATTTAGGTAGAAGGTACAGGGTGT